GATCGCAGTCATAATCGAGGGACTTACATCAAGACCAGAAGCCCCATTCCAAGTTCTGAAAATATTTCAGTGTCTTTCAAACAGGAAACTTTTCAAAGGTACTTAGAGGCTGTACCATAAACATTTTTTATTTGCCTGCTTTGAAAATAAAATCATCACTGGGGTCATCCTCTTCCTCACTTTCCAGGACATAAATCACAGAAAATGGAAACATTTCCCTGTGCCCGTGCCTGGTTCTTCCAGCGGGAGGGAGGCTGCAAGCAGGCAGGAGCCCCTGGAGCCCGTGGAGCCCCTGGAGCTGGTGCTCAGACACAGCCAGAAGGAGCTTGGGCGGGCGGGTCACACAAAACAATCTGTCCCATTGGCTTTTCAGGCACCCCTTCCCCCAACCCCACTGAATTAATGTAAACCCATGGGAATATGACTTGTGAACAAGAGAAACCATGTGCCATGTGTCATTATAATGCAAATATGACACTGTGGTTGGCTCATCAGAACTCCTCTTTTTTGGGGGAAAAAAAAACCATATAACAAAAGAATGTAGAGGTCCAGAAATCACTTGATGGCACTGCCTTGAAAGTCAAAGTGTGTAAGATGTGATGAGGCCAGGGGGTGTTTGTGTATATCAAAGGATGTTCCCACAACAGGCATTTTATTGGGCGTAGATTAAGGGAATCACATACACCCAACATACAAGCAATTGTTCATTTAAATGGGGCAAAGGTCTTCAAGAGAAAGTATGCAAACACTGTCAGACTTTTAAAAGAGGCAGATGTTCGACATTCTTGCTACAATTCCATAAGCACAGCTATGATTTACCTCAAAGCAAAGACTCATTATAAATAATTACCAACAACTTTCTTGCATTGCCAGTGATTTTTCCCTGTGTTGCCTGGTTAATGTAGCAAATCTAACTCCTATCACATATTAGATGGAAATGACAACTCCCAGATCTGTGAAATCTAAAACGGGAGAGAATAAATAGCATTTTAATCAATGTCTGCGGCACACTCTATGAAAATAAACTCCAGTAAACTCATTCTTTCCAAAAATACTCAGGGAGGGAGGAAGGAAGGACACAGGAAAGACTATGTAATAACCAATTATCCAAAAAAGGCAGTGAAGTATTCCACATCTCTAAAACTCTGTGTATATAATTAACTCTTTGCAATGGGCTGACTTTTTTTTTTTTTGATTGGGAAAAAAATCTTAATTAGAATAATTAGAGGGCAGTCCATACACATAAATTCATGCACGTGCATACCCTGAATTTTGTCCACAAAACATTTAAATTTATTAAGATTACAAAAACCTGCCATTGCTACTTAAATTAAAATCTGGCAGACGGAAGACTGTCGCATTTCTAGCGCTGGCTGTTGGTGATGAAATATTCCCGGGTGTCTAACGCCTGGATGGACAGAGACTGTTATCTCTGCAGCTTCCAATGCTGGGTTCCCACCTCGGCTCCTCAGGAAAACCTTCCACCCCCCTCCCAGCAGGTGCGCAGCTCACCCCTGCCCAGCTGCAAGAACCCGGGGTGCCCTAGGCTTCCCTTTGATGGCGTCTCCTACGCTGCAATTGGGGCAATTAATTACTAAGTATACACAAGTGTATGCAAGTGTATAAATGTACATCCTTAGCTGCTTCATGCCAATCTCTCCTACCAGTATGTAAGCTTTATGAGGAAAGTTCCTGGAATCCCATAAACACTAAATAGATGCTAAACACATAAATCACCTTCAACAAGAGCTATCACTGAGCAAACTGGAAGAAGTAGGTGTTTCTATTAGGCAGATGTGGTAACCAGTATACTACGAAAACCCACCTTGAATTGGGTACTTCTGAAAGTTCTGCAAAAACAGGTCCTCTTTCATCCCTGGAATACCAGTGCCAATGTCACTCTCGGAGGTGGCCCCAGCCTCTCCCCTCTTCTTTGCCAAATGTAGAAATCAATAAGAACATTCCTCTAAACCTCCAATCCCTTCTTTGTACATACACACTGGCCGCAGTTACATGCATTTGATTATCCATTATGGTCACCCTTCTTGGGTCCCAGGAAACAACTTCCAACTAAAGGGATTTTCAATAAGATATATAGAGTATAATATATCATAAAAGAAAACAAGGGAAAATTACATAAAACAAGCTGGGAACGTTTGAACTGTAATAATGTAATTGGCATTTCCATTACTTCTGCCATTTAGTGTTTCGTTGGGGGGACATTGTGCAAATCTTTCCAACATTCATGAAACTGGTTCCTTGTGAAGCTAAGAGGAGGTGGCCTCACAGTGGCAGCAGGACCGAGCCTTGAGCATCTGATGTGGCTTGGGGCTCCTGAATGGTGGGCGCCACCCATTAACGAGAACTGAGTTTTCTTCCCATCTCTTTATGACTCTACCACATGCCATATGCCACTACTGACGATCTATTTTATTTTTTCTCCATCTCCTCTAAATATCTTTCTCCCGTTTTGTGGCTTTTCTTACTCATGATTCCTGCTTACTCAAAGCCTAGGCTTACTCCTGACTTCCTTCTTTCTCTGTGTCTTTTCGCTTTGAATAATACAACCAGTTTAACCAACTTGCCCTATCTTGTAAACTCAGGCTTTTCAGAGAGATTTGGACAGGATCAGTCACCACCATCCCTGTCGGGCCAAGTTCTTGTGCACCCCCATCCAGGGCTCCCAGGCAGCCTATCAATCGGTCACCTAGACCCAGTCAGCTGTGACCACAGTGGTGAGATCATGCGAGATAACAAAAATTAATTTAGGCCAGCATGGTCTTGGGGAGCAACCCTCTGAAAAATGACAGTAAATGTGGCTAGCCCAGGTCAAGAACCAGAAACTAGTTCATTTAAAGAGTAATCTAATAACTAAATCTGGGATGCAAGAAAATTCCTTATTCTGTCAAGTGGAATAACAAGAGTTCCGATTTTGCATTTCTCTACTATTCTCTTTCATGTTTGCTACTTTAAAAAAAAAAAAAAAGAAGAAGAAAAAAGAAAAAAGGCAGGTGCCTGGGTGACGCAGTCGGCTAAGAGACCAAGTCTTGGTTCCAGCTCAGGTGGTGATCTCAGGGTTGTGAGATCGAGTCCTGCCTCGGGCTCTGACCTCAGTAGGAAGTCGGCTTGAGATTGTCTCTCTCTCCCTCTCCCCCTGTTCTCTCTCTCTCTCTCAAATAAATAAATCTTAAAAAAAAAAAAAAAGCAGAAAAGCGGCAAAGATCAAATGCCACGGTATAAATACCAAATCAGTAACTGGGTCCTTTGTTCTAATATTGACCTGGCACCCTTTAACTCTATTTTCTCATTCTGTTTTTTATAACTCTGCTGCTCCCAAATACAAATAAAATAGACAAAGCCCTGAGAATTTTGCTTAGAACTGCAGAAAGTAGTTGAAGTTCACACTTGGCCCATATCCAGTTTTCTGCCACCACAAAACTCTTATTCAGTCCCCTGTGTAGGAGAAGCAGATTACATTTTTAAAAAGTACAAAACTTTCCTTCTGTCTACTTTTTAATTTATTATGTTTGAGTATTTTTGTAAAAAGTTATTTTGGTAGGCTTCTGATGGTCATGTGGGTCTCAGGGACTTATAAAACTGACATCACAATGTTGAAGTTAATAAAATTATAAGCATAATATATTCTAAATCCCAATTATTTTAGTTCAGGAAAAAAAAAAAATCCTGCTAAGTTATGCATTACTCTGTGGCTTGGGTCCAAGGAGGAAATTTATTATCATGGAGGGAAAAAATTCTTGGTGGGAGAAAAAGATAGCAAATTCTTCAAATAAATAAATAAGCTGTTTTGTAATTTGAAATATCATCAGTATATTTGATGATGAATATCACACAAATATTCACTTTATACTTTTAGAATATGAAAAGCAGAAAAATTCAAGATCAGGAAGACATGTTTATTCTGTGAGCAAGTGTTCTGAATGTATCATCCAGGGTGCCTGGGTGGCTCAGTTGGTTAAGCGTCTGCCTTCGGCTCAGGCCATGATCCCAGGGTCCTGGGATCGAGTCCCGATTCAGGCTCCCTGCTCAGTGGGGAGTCTACTTCTCCCTTTCTCTCTACCCCTCCCCCCTGCTTGTGCTCTCTCTCTCACACGCACACACTCTTTTCTCTATCGAAAAAATAATAAAATCTTTAAAAATTGAAAAAAATGTGTCATCCATACTGTTCATCAGTTTACAATTGGGAGGGTTTATGCACCATCAAAGAGGAACTTCTACAGAATAATACAATAAGGCTAAGATCCTCATCTCAATAGATTTATAGTAGGGTAAAAATAGGGACTAACTTACTTTTTCCAACTATGCGAAAATTAGGGGGGGAAAAAAGCACTTATGTTTTATGATAAATGAGCTGTTCTTAGCTGAGAAATCAGAGCATCTCCCCATTTCATGTACTCAAGTTGTGCACTTTCTATTCTTTGCTTCAAGCTGTTTCTTTCATCTCACTAATACAAGAAAATTAAAATTCTACTATTGGGAACATATGAGGAATTTAATCTTGGAAGAAGTGAACTACAATGCTGTATTATCGTAGTACTCTGATATACCATCAGAAAGATACTGAGCGGGCGCCTGGGTGGCTCAGTTGGTTAAGCGACTGCCTTCGGCTCAGGTCATGATCCTGGAGTCCCGGGATCGAGTCCCGCATCGGGCTCCCTGCTCGGCAGGGAGTCTGCTTCTCCCTCTGACCCTCCTCCCTCTCATGCTCACTGTCTCTCATTCTCTCTCTCTCAAATAAATAAATAAAATCTTTAAAAAAAAAAAAAAGAAAGATACTGAGCTTGAAAACCATAATATTATTATCATTTAAAACTAAGTTTATTTGGGGCAGGAAGACACATTTTGAATGACTCACTAATGGAAGTGCACCGAAGACAGCAGAGGTCTCCAATGTGATTTAATGTGAGTTTTCATGAAAAACCTCATCCCCGGGACACCATCAAGCTCCAAGAAACCAAGGTGAGAACCAAGACGTAGAATCATTTTGTTATATCCTGCATTTATTTAAGCAAACCAAATGTGTAGAGATAGGAAAATTAGAGCGTTATAATGTTTTACAAATACAGAAAGAAGACAGAATAGTAATACCCTGAAGAGAGTGCATCCGAACACAGCTCTATCACAGGAGAACACGTGCAGTGACCACATTGAAGCCACGGCCAACACGTCCAGCTGCCATTCTTGTTCTGACATCGTTCAAGTAGATTTAATAGATAACTCAGCGATTTGCTTTTAAACAAATAATAATACTAATGATTATAGTAGCCTTGAAGGGTTCGTGAGTGACTATACTATACATACATGATGCTAGGCTTAATGTTTATTTCAATGCCGCTGTACACTATGCAGGGGGAAATAATGTCATATTACACAATTACTGTGACATCCACTAAAATGTGAACTAGTTTGCATAGGTTAGTCCTTTGGGCAGCACGATGTTGCTCTAGTCCACCAAGGCTTAAAGATTCACAGTGTAGAGGAAAGAAAACATGAATTAAAGCATTTCTACTAAAATATATTTTAATAGCTGGTGTTAATTTGCATAACAAAAGCCAAATTATATTAATAACATTGTATCATTCTATAAGCCCATTCATTTTAAAAACATTAAGTGTTTCCATTAAAACTGTATGCTCTCAAAGTTAGTACAGTCTTGCAAGTTCATCATCAACCACCATTCTACATTTTCGAAGCAGACAGAAGCCAAGCTGTGCAATGATTCAATTTTGTATTCTTAGCACAGGTCAAAGGCCAATGTTTCCACACCAAACCCACAGCACACTCGGTACCACTTCTAAATGCTCAGCCATTCATTGTATGGACACTGAAGAATGGGACTAGGATACAGTTTTCTCTTTTCCTTCAAAGTCAAGCATTCTTAACAGCAACTGGATTCCCAAGAAGTAGATAGTATGCCAACTGGATATCATGTATCAAACGCAAAAAGCATATGGAATTCCATGAATATACAGAAGTAATATGGACAACCGGAGAGAAATCTGCCCTGGGGATCCTTCCAGGCTGGTGGATTCCAGTAGTCTAAGCATCATGAAATGATGGCCACAGAAACATCATACAGTAATTGACTGTCTGGAAAGGACCCTAATGGGCATGGAATACTTCAGAAAGAGACTTCCCTTTTAGCATTCTTAACTTACTTTACATAGCTTCTTACTTAACTAAAGTTTTCTCTCCTCTGTGTCTCGTTACCCAAAACACCCACCCTCTAGCCGCTTTTAGATTATCAGAAGCAAATATAGCTAAGGTATAATGAAATTTATGAAGTGAATTTCATCTTGTGTAATGAATTCAGCCTCATAACGTAATTCTTCTATCTTACAATAGCTATTTTAAGTCTCAAATCTAAAGTTAATGTTTATGCATCCTGATTATATATAAATGCACAAAGAACTTTTCAGAAATAGATGGGAAAGGTCAGTATTTTCTAAAGTTCTACACCTTTAGAGGTAAAAATACAATCAGCTATCACCTTTCATATCTGTCAGGAGCATCTCACTTCCCCACCACAAAAATACCAATCATGTATAACAAAATACTACTATAGAATAGATAAGAAGCTTGCTTGCTTGGTTTTCTTTCCAAGACCGTCATGGATAAACAAGGGTAATCAAAAAGGCACCTTTTTAAAAATATATCTATATTATAATTTTGGTATAAACTATATCCACTTTATATAGGGATGTGCTATTAAAGGATCACACCCATTTTCTTTATCTTTTCATTAAAAACATTTCACCAGAGGTGAATACACCTGAAAAAGAGATGCACCTCTTGAACTTCACTGTTCTAGTAAAGTCTGTTTCCCCACTTCCCAGACTGTTGTCAAGCTCAACCAGGAGAGGACAAGGGAGGAAAGACTGTGGTTAACCTGCCCAAACTGCATCTTCATCATCTTCAAGCGATGAAACTTAGTGACAAAGAAGGGCTGGTCTAATCTCAATCATGTTCATACAAGGTGCCCATAGAAATTGTGCTTGCAAATTCCCGTATGATCTCTGGAGGTGGGGAAGCCTAGGAAGAGGCAGGGATGGCATGGGGATCTGACAACCAGATAAATATTTCAAACTGGGCTACACTGCGGGTGTCTAAACAAGAACAAGAAGACGTGAAGAACTCATTTTGCCACGTTAGAAATAGAAAGCTTTCCTTAGAGCACGAGAATCAGTAAAAATATTGACTACAAAAACCTACAACAAAAGTCACCTATTCCACTGCTCTGCTTCTCTCTCCAGAGATGATCCACATATAGTTTTGTTTTCGGAAACTTGTAAAAACGTATCAACCTGCTCCATGTGCTTTTACCAAGCCTGAGAACACATCACGTTCGGAGAATCAGGTGCATGCTCTCTGTGCTTGGACATTTCAGTCTTTAGCTTGATTTCTAAAAGACAGATTTTTTTATTTACACCCTTCTTTAGCCGTTAGTGTTATTTATGTATGAGATGCATGTCGCCAAACTGAGGGGAGGGGGGGCATGTGCAAAGTGGAAAAAGCGTTCAAGAACGTAGTTTTGAAAAATGATGCTGTAAAAATAGCACTTTGGTATTATACATATATGTTTCTGATATTTCTGCTGAGATGCTCAATATCCTGACAAGCTTTAGGAACAGTGGCAACACTACCCAGTTATGGCATCAGGAGCATGTGACATCATGTTCTCCCACAGTCTTTATTATAAAATAACTGCTGTCTGGTTAAATTCTGAGCAGACCTTAATTCCTAGAGGCTGGAAGCAGAAACATCTCGCTATGCAAACATTATGCTAAGCTTAAAATTTTAGAATTATTCCCCTAGTAATTATTGACTTCTACATTCCATGAATCTGATTTTGAAATTAGTGGATGAGAAAGACAATGGAACAACCAGCTGCTACTTTATGGGACTTTTCCCCGATAAAGAGTATCATTTCAAATCCGTTCCCTTTGAGCTTCCTATAAATGTGCTATTTCTCAAAAATTGTACCTGTCCTACATTTAGTCTGCAAATTTAATCAACAACTACTCTTTTTCATAATCACAAAAAAGTGGTCTGGGTGAAAAATATTTACTTAATGACATAATAAAATTGAGCAAGCTTATTGCCCCAGTTTTAACACACAGAATTTTTTTTTTTTTTTTTTTTGGGCAAGAATGTCACAAGTTCAGCTTGTCTTTGTTGGTTTGTGTACAAGACATCAAAATGGATAGGGGGTTAATTTAATCATAACTGGCCATTTCAATACTAGAAAATCAGTCCAGCTGGGTATGTAGGAATCTGTAAAAAAAAAAAAAAAAAAAAAAAAAACTCAAAAAACTCTCTAGTTTTTCACCTGAATTTCTCTCATCTCTTTTTATGTGAGTGTCCTGTAGATGCAGCCTGAGCGTAATAAAGCTTGTTTGCTCTTTGAGCCAGATAAAATGAAACTCTAGATTTTCAAAAAGTAGGTGCTAACTTTTCAAAAGTGTAAATGGATTAGCATTTGTTTCTGGACTCCTAAACACTTCCGTAAAAGGTATTTTACAGGATATTTCATTAATTTCTTTGCCTATATTACATAAGGGAGATAACCCCAAGATCTATACATTTTATCACATTTTTGTAACTTTGCTTTTGCAGCTTCATCACAATTCCAGAGTCAGGCCCTACACAAATGCTACCCTGCTGAGGTCCAAATACATCAGGAAAACACAGAGTCGCTGATGGATGTTAATTTCTCCAGTGACCTTGACTATGAACTACCGGCCAATCGTCTTGACCAGATAGGGCAACAATTTCTTTTAGTGAACAACCTGTTGGGCCTAGACCTAAAATCTCTGCTGGCATTTTCATCCTCCCACCCCGCTCCCCCTGACAATATGGTTTAGAAGGTAAAAAACAGAAGAAAGTAGAAAAGAAGTCTTTTCATTAACTGGTTTCAGTGGCTAGATTTCCAGTACCGGATGTGAATAGCATTTTCCAAAATTTAAAACAAAACAAAACAAAACAACGATTATCTCTATGCGGAGTGGGTGACATTTTGTTCACTGGTTGTCTCTCGCACACTTTGTAGTCACTGGCTCTTATTAAGCTTTCTTTACTTTTAAATCGACAGCGGCATTAAGTTAATGAAAGCTGCTCGGTAAACACCTAAATCACTTATTTGCTAGAGTAGACATCTATTTCCTAAAGGTGTAAATCCTTCACAACTAGAGTGCAAGGCAGCAGGAGAATCTCAAGCAACTTTTCCAAATATGTTTTTCTGATGAGCTGGCGACTAGAGGGAAGGGCTGTTAGGTTATCAGCCGCACATTTTGCTTTAATAATAGGCAGTGCAGCTTCCTATGTTACAGAAGCTTGAACCTATGTGACATGCAACAGGGTAAAAGCGCTTAGGGAAATAATAGAGATGACCTTAAACTTTGCCCTTTGCAGAGTAGCTGTGACGTTATTTGGTCCTGACATTCTATGGAGTCAAGCGTAGACTTGGGCCCACAGAATGTAAATGGAGAGTAGGATACGCCTTGGTACCAATGAGAAATAAAGAGACCCAAGTCAGCCTAGGGAACAAGGAAATGTCTTTGTTCGGGAGAAGTTTCTAGGTCCCGAAGGCCACCAGTCAATGTAATTTTAACCAAACTGTCATTCTGCCACTCCTGACATTTATTACATTAGGCAATTTTCACTTGAATTGGAAATTCCCTAATGACTCAAAAGCTAAATGGTCTTTAAATTATTGGCTGTGTTACTGAATTAAGAGAATTGGCTTCTGGTGATTCCAAAGTGACAGGTAAGAAGTTTCATAGACTTGTTACATTTAAGGGACGATCAACATCTCTATTAAAGTCTACAAAAATACATTTCCCAGAAGTGTTTGATAGCCAATCAAAAGAAACCATTAACCCAATTAGCAGCACCAGGCCTCCAGACCTATAGACTTTGTGCACAGGAATCACTGAAAATGTAGGTGTCCTGAGCCCAGAAGTCATTCCTTCTTCCTGGTACCTGTGTGTCTCATTGTCAAAGTAAAGACAGATTATTGTAAAATAACTGCCAAGTTGTCTTAAAAGTATCTTCTATCTTTTAAAAAGATTGGGTTTAGTATACATTAGAATAAAGCTCAAAGACAAGGAGAAATAATTAATTAACAAACTCAATGTAATTGGCTGGGAGCATCCCTGTTTTCCCAGTTCTCTGCACCGTGCCGTACATCCAGCCGTCATCGATGGGCTGCACGTTGACGATGTAGTCACCGTCCCTGAAGGAGACCTCATCTTCGTCCTGGGCACTGTAATCGTACATGGCTCGGTAGGTCCTCTGAGAAAGGAAAGGGGGGTGGGGTCACACGATGGATACAAAATAATACAGCCACAAATGCCAATCATGACAAACCAACTCACATATAATAAAGGAACCAGGAGGAATGTTCCCAAGTGTATTTATTTCTGGAGGTTGGCAAACAGAGCCTAGCATCTATCCTGGTTGCGTCCATCTCAAGTTTACCAGGCTAGCAGAAAGGGTAATGTTTGGGGGGCACAGAATGGGGATCGAGGAAGCCTTTAGATACTATGACTGGCCCATGAAAAAGTAAGCTTTGAAGCAGTATAACCAACTTCCCCCAGCTCCAGATAACCCCAGAGACCTTAGATTATGTAGATTTTCCCCTATTCCACATTCTTTAGAGAACAAAAACTGCCCTATGGACAGATGGAGCCAAGTCACTGCCATGGCCTCCCTGACAGAGGAAATGAATTTTTCGTAGGAACAAAGAATTTTTGTTTCCTCTTAAAAATATATTTAAAAAAGAAAAATAGATAATATACTTATTTTGTAGGTTTTTGAATCAGTGATAGACATTTAGTATGTAAATGTCTGAATATTGAGGGACACATAACTGAATCCTTGTTATAATGAGGAAATTATTCACTTCCTAACTTCAAACTATGTTACAAAGCTGTGGTAATTAAAACACTCTGGTAGTGACATAAAAACATAGATCAATGAAACAGAACAGAGACCCCAGCAATAAACCCACATATATATGGTCAATTTAGGATGAAGGAGCCAAAAACACACAGTGGGGAAAGGACAGTCTCTTCAATAAATGGTGCTGGGAAAACTGGACAGCCGCATGCAAAAGAGTGAAACTGGACCACTTTCTTAACCCATACACAAAAATTAACCCAAAATACATTAAAGACTTGAATGTTAAACCTAAAAAGATAAAACTCCTAGAAAAACACATAGGCAGTAAGCTCCCCAACATTGGTCTTGGAAATGATTATTTGGATTTGACACCAAAAACAAAAATATACACGTGCAACCACATCGAATTGAAAAGCTTCTGTGCAGCAAAGACAACCATCAACAAAATGAACCTACCAACCGGGAGAAGATATTTGCACATCACATGTCTGACAAGGGGTTCATAGCCAGAACGTAAGTTGAGTTTTACCATATTTGTTTTAATTAAAGACCAAGAATTCAGTTAATATTAACATCAGTCTCAAAATTAAGAGACCAGTCTAAGGAAACTGGCAGATGCAAAAAGAATTTTAGAGCAGTTAAAAAGAACTTCCAACTGCTTAGAAGGACCACCTCTTTCTCAGGGCTCAGGCTAAGCCTTCTGTGTCAGACAGAAGCTTGGAGAAATAATTTCGCTTGAGATGCCCAACCAACCTCGAGCACTGCTTCCAAACTTCACATTTAATGAATGAATCTGTAAGCACTTCAAGATTTCTAATAGGAGGATTCAAAGACTTACATTGGCCATGTCATTTGGAGGTTAGTGGCCGTTTTGATTACTGTCAAAATTAACTGGTTAATGTGACCAGATATTTGTACTTTTTAGACCTGAATGAAGATCACAGTTGGCTAAGACCGATCATGAAGTAACAACTAGGATATTGTTCTGAGACAGTCGTTTTGTATGTTTTACTCTTTATATGTTTTCACAGCATGCCTTCCTTTCTCAGTGGTTTACCTCTATAAGTCTTCTGCTTTCTTCGAAAGGGTACAAAGAATAAAATGTTGTCATTTATCCTTTCTGTGAAAATGGACACTATTCAATGCAACTCTATTCCACTTTTATTTCTATTTTGGAGATAAAACGGAAAGAGCAGGGAAGAGGAAATATTTCAAACTGATACTTACTAGATTTGGTGAGTGCTGCATTGACCTCATGGATGAGAGGCTGGTCTGGTGCATGTACCCATAGCCTTGGGAATGGCTTTGCTGGTAGGCTCCAGGAAGAACGGGCGCTGTACATGAACATACACATACAAAGAGTCCTCAAAGCGAGCCTCAAAATACCCCTCCCGAGCACCCAAGGGACTTCATGCTCTGTTACACTCTTCTGAAACCAAATGCCATGTTCAGTGCCATGTAAAATCTGGGTAGTGGTGTTATAAGTGATCTAGATTAGTATAAATTTCAGCAATTAAGGACATATATAGGGAATCAGTTTAACATGCAGTTAAAATATATTAGAAATACTTGTATTACTCTACTGCAGAGGCTCTGTTCAAACAACACAAGTACAAAACAAAAATTTCCCATTGCCTTTTAACAAAATCACATTTTTACTCAGCTATGTAATCCCCTTAGACATTTTCCAAAATAAAAATAAGAATTTTTTTAAAAATTGAAGTGGATTATCAAACCAATGACAGAGTATAAATGTTTTCACAGAATACTCATATAACAGATGCTCTCAATATTTCAAGACATATAGCTAAATATTACCTTTACAAAAATGGTAAATATAGCATATGGTTAGCAACATATGTTTGTTTAGCAGTTAATAATGAGTCTATACCCCAAAAGAAAACTTTATTTAAAATATATAAATTCTCCATTTTATCTTGGCTGTAAGTCAAAACTAAATAAGTCATCTGAATATGTTACAAAAGCCTAACGAACCAAACCATGTAAAGAATTTCATAAACATCTTTCTACATCAAAAAAAGAAAAGAAAAAGAAAATAGTATCAAAATAGCATTCACTCATTTTGTGCTGTTCTCACCACTAATTATGACAATCAAAAGACATAGTTCCTGTTTTGAAGAACACTAAATTCTAGAGAAACCAACACAGAAACTAGATAAAACCCCCACATAATCAGTAGATGTATGCTTGACTCTGTGTTTCTCTCTAAGTATATGTAAGTACTTATAACCAGAAGCAAGGAGCTGGCTACGAATGAGAGGATTTTAGTAGCACACCCTCCACTGGGTTTTGAACAATCATATGATACATTAGTAAAACTTGTATGATATGATTACTATAAAAATCCACAATAGGTTGCCAGCATTGTTCAATCAGGTTGAGTCTGTAATTAATCTAGGTTGATTTATTTAGGACAGTTTTTATAATAAAAGAAACAGATATAATTCTTGGGTACTATGAATAATTACTATTTTATAAGTGGTATATTCATTCTGATGATACATGAAAACATCAAATTTAAAGAAGTCTAATCATCAGAAAATTACAAATCATAAATGTGTTCTCCAGATGATAATGACATTAGGTTGAATGGGAATTTTTTTTAAGTTCTTGAATTAATTCATATTGCAATGTTGTTAGAAATCGTGTTTATTTAATGTCTAGGTGCGGCATCAAAGAGAAACCACCGAGTTCTTAACTTGGACTGTGGTACATTCTAAAGTTATTAAAGCGTTAAATATCAAATACTTCAGAAAATAGCACTGTTTAACATTATCAACTCAATTTAAATACTTAATGTCAAGAGATGTCAAGAATATTGTCAAAATTCACTCATGAAGAAAAAATAATGAAATCACTAAAAATATCTAAGCCCACTTAATTAGCTGAGGAACAGAGCCATTGCTGTGTATTGGAAGCATGGACCATTCATTTCTTCCCTCCCTCAACTCTCAGCAAATACTGACTGAGTGAGTTAATGTGTGCACAGGGCTTACTACATCACCTGTCACTTAGTAAGCCTCCATAAATCTTAACAACTATCACTGTCCACTATGTTCAAGGCATGCCAGGCATCAAAGGAGAGGGGTGACAAAAACGATTGCCCTCCTCGAGCAATAATGGCCTGGACATCTGTTCTTTCCCCAGCTGAAGAAATGGCTCTGAATACTCAGGGCATTTCCAGTTAAATATGTAAGTCAAGGACTCCAATTACACACCCAGAATGGCAGGCCTGAACTGGTTTTTAGCCACATAAACAAGTCATTGCTTCATTAATTATTATTTTAATCTATTTATAAATTCTAAAGATTAATTAAAAAACCCCATAAACCTACCTAAAATTAAAAAAAAAATAAACTTTTAATCCTTTGTTACACTATCAAACTGTGACTTTCACATTTTGATGCAGAGAGTTAAGCATGGTCATCTTAAAATATTTGGGGGGAAAACTATCAGGAAAAGACAATGATGAAAAATATTTTTAAACATGCTATCTCATGTGCCGTGATGTGTCTGTGTGTACATAGTGTGTACGTCATCATCCTAATACTGACAATTCGAGAATGTTGTTGAACAGTGTTCTCTAATTTTGGCTGTTAGAAACCAAGTATATCCACACCTGTTCAACTGCTCAAATCTGACCTTCAAAGAGAACCTATAGATACTGTCAAATACAGCAGGAAAAGAAAATGATGTATTTGTCCTAAATCTGTGTAGGTTGGAGAGAGCAGGGAAGAGTTTAGAAGGCGGAACCTTGGGGTAAATATAATCTATCTCGTTCTTACAGTTTCTTCTCATGCCTTTATTTCCATTTCTCTCTGCAGCTGCATTACTTAATGCACGTTCCTTCAGGGCTATCAAACTTTGTTATCTACTTTATACCTGATACAATAAAAGAGTTTTTAGGAAGCTCCTATTAGAGCTATGAAAAACATAACTAAGAGCCCAGAGGAATCAACTTACTAAAAGCAAATGCCAATTTAAAAGGAGGCAGACATTGCTTTTTTTATTGTTTTGCTACATGATTTCTTTTTTATGAAGCATAGGCAAAATAAGCAATAGGAAATTTAGAACAATGGCTTCAGAAATTGGGTCTATTAAGAATTTGGGTGAAAGATAGCTATTCCATGTGAGTATGCCATTTCTTCCATGAAAATATGGAACTCAAGAGGTTTTGCAAAAGCAAGATGTTAAGCTAATTTTGCAACAAACAAAGACTTCTTATCAGAGAAAAATACATTGTGCCCTCTTCCTTAAAACAGTGGTCAGATTCCACCAGCACTGACACAGATGGATGATGGTTCCATGATGGTCTTCCCACACAAGAGTCCTGAGGTTGAGAGTTTTTATTGCAGTAGCATAAAAGCCATAAAACAATAACTTTAGGGGCATCTGGGTGGCTCAGTCAGTTAAGTGTCTGACTCTCGGTTTCAGCTAAGGTCATGATCTCATAATGGTCATGAGATAGGGTCCCACACTGGGCTCCATGCTGAGTGTGGAGCCTATTTGAGATTCTCTCTCTCTCCTATCCCTCTGCCCTCCCACTCCCTGCTCGTGTGTGCTTTCTCACTCTCTCCAAAAAAAAAAAAAAAAAAAAATAGCTTTCATTATCCTAAGGCAACAACAAAACACACAAGTGTGACTCAATTTTCATTTCACATTGGTAAGATTTATTGACTAGAGATCTGGAAGCTCACTAAAGCTCTAAGGATTTCAGCTCTATTTGGAATGTCCCATAGTATTTATGAAACCAAAATCTCTTTTAGCGAACAACAAAGTTCTTCCACTAACAGACAATACTAATATTTTCTATTTAATGCTTCTCCTTACAATGAAAGGAGATAAAACCAAGATAGAGAAGTAAATAGACACGAAGATCATAAAACAGAAGGTGAAAATGGAAGAAAAAACATTTTTTTGGAGGCTTCATAAATCTGAAACTGGAAAAGTAAGGAAATATGTGTAAACATGCACAGTAGAGTAAATGAACCAAAGATATGCACCCACAATCATAAAAAGAGAAAAATCCTCAAAAAGAAGCCAGCCCACTGTGGGGGATGACCGTGGAGTAGGTAAAAGAAGAGGAGGATTATAGAAGTGTCATTCGCGTGCACAGTGCATCCCATGTTGCCATGTAGTTGTCAGAAAAACTCTCTAAAATAGGTATCATTCCCACTTTAGAGAATAAAATACAGAGGCTGGGAGATTAAGCAGGAAGGCAGCAGAGCAATGGTCTCTGCATATGAACACCAGGATAAAGGTCTGATGTCCTCAAAGATGAGGTAGAGGTTTTGAAAGCCTCACGATGACAACAGCGTCATAGTAGATGGCCAAACTCCAAATGCAAAAATAGAAATAAAAGTAATGCCTTATTGATTCCTCAGCCCATTAGGGTTGGTATAAAAAATACCATAGACTGGTGGCTTAAGCAACAAATTACTTCTTGCTGTTCTAGAGACTAAGAAGTCCAAGATCAAGACGCTGGCAGATTCAGTGTCTGACGAGGATCCATTTCCTGGTTCATAGATACACTGATTCCTTTTCCTGAGTCCTTAAATGGCAGACGGGGATGAGGGAGCTCTCTGGGGCCTCTTCTATAAGGGCACTAAATCCACCCTCTTGACCCAGTCACCTCCCAAAGGCCACACCTCCTAATACCATCACCCTGGGGTTAGGAATTTGACATGTGAATTTGGAAGGGACACAAGCATTCAGTCTGTAACAATTAGTTAACATAGATGTAACACAAATAGAGAAAATAATCTTGGGGTTTTTCTCACAGGCTTACTTTTTTTTTGTAATCAGAATAAGGAAAATTACCCCTCAGAAGCTTTCCAATAAAGAATATAGGATGCAATACATTACTGTCATATTTTCTTAAGAGTTGACTACAGTTTTATCAATTAATGTGGGTCTAAGAACTTAATGAGTTGTGGGGGGTTTTTTTCTTCTTTTTTTTTTTTAAGGACAAAGAATCTGGATTTGGACAGTCACAAGGGAATTGCTAAAATGAATGAAGACATGACTATAAATGAGAAAGTATGAAGATACTGCTGGTTGTGAAGTAAATATTAAATAATGAGCTAAACCCTTATTAGATCTCATCTAGGCTATGAGCAAAGTGGTTGAGCTAATCGGTCATCAAATAGGCCCATGATGTGGACCTTTTTGTTCAAATAACTTTTTCGGGTGCCATCAAGGGTTCCAAATCAGAGCCTCAAGCCCTCATGGCACCTGCTTCTCTCCACAAGCCCCAAGTGAGTGCTAAATCCACATTTATGCCAAATACAGCAACAAGATGATTTTTTTTAAT